TAAAAGAGGCTCAAACTTGGTGGGTGATCAGCATTCGGCAAGAGCTATGACCACACAAAATAAGAAGCCCCTAGCTATCATGGTTCTTGAGTTACAGGGGACCCGCTGCTTTTGCGGAGTACTGTATTTCAACATAAGATACGTAGCTGAAAAGGATTTTTTAAAGTTTTGCTTCTTTTTCCTTTTAGATTACTATGTATTAGAATTTGTCAAGATACGATATTTATTTAGTCTTACAATATGCCAAAGTTTACAAGAAAAAGTAATACGATTCGCTTTTTTACCTATTCAATATTGTATTCTATTAGAGCTCTCACGCTAGCCTTCAATTCATCCTTTTTTGTAAAAATCTGACGTAGACTATCGGTACAAAAAGAAGGAATGCCGCTACAGTAGCGTATTCTTCCCATCCTCAAAACATATTCTTCATACCCAAGTGCATATCACCTATGGGAAAAATCTAGATACGTTTCGTCTGTAATCGGGTGATACACAACTAGTTGGTTTAAACTATATTTATTTAAAGATAAAGAAATCCTAATAACCTTCGAACTAAAGCGAGAAATTGCGATTACATAATTCAAGGAGTTATTTTACAAGGTGTTACTCTTTTCCATAAGAAAAATATTTACTAGTTGGAAAAAGGTCTTTTAACTAGATCCGTCTGCATGTGCAACTAGCAACAGTTAAATCGATCGATTATCGGGCAATAAATTGATAGTTGCGACTGAAAAGAAATCTTGCAATCGCCCCATTACTAGATTTCCACTGTCGTTACCAAATAATTGCAGTATAGTAACTGGATGAATTGGACGATACTAGATTGTTTTTTATGCTTGGGATATAGGATTGAAGGTTCTTTTACACATACAAATAGCAGATTTGTCCAAATTATATGAATGCATAGATGGTGCAATGAGAGCTTATGCTCTGAGAAAAACTCTGTGGGAAAAGCTGATTTTTTCGCGAAAATTTTATATGATGTTTAGAAATCAAAGTTCATTTCAGACATCTATAGGATTAGCAAAAATCTGACTCTTTAAAGTTGAATTGATTTTGAAATTTTCACGCCTGACTTTTTCATACTCGATGTTGACAGAAACTAAAAAAGTTTTTCTAGATAACCTACTATTTGATAATGAACTATTAGTAAAAACGTTTAAAACGTTTTTGACATAGAGTACGTACTTCAATAGTGTAATTGTGTGAAGTTATGAGAAGTACCCCAAGCTTATCGACTGACACATCTAATTACAACTATAAATATAGCTGATATAGTTTTTATTCTTATTAGATAGATTATAGCTAAGAAAAATTAAATTAAAGTAAAATGAGATATTCTTTGGTCTGAGACCAAGGGTAGGCCCTTATTTTATCAATCAAAGAAGTTGGCGACTAGCTTAAAATATCTGTGTACAATGACTTAAATAATATAATTCTGTTTATATATAATTGTTTCTACAACCAGCGAATTTTGAGTTGTTTTCGAATAAACAAAGTATCCGTTCATTTCTTCCGGCGAAAAAACTGCTAGGTTTTTCGCGCATATTTCAGAAAATAGAGAGAAAGATTCAATTTATCTATATCATTCTTTATATTTTATTGTTCTTTCTGTATTAAGATAAAGCCTCTCTGGCGACTTCTCAGATCGCTGATACAGATGAAAACATGTCGATCGATGATGGTGTTAGCGTCTGCAGCAATATTTCCAATGGCAAGAGTGTATATGACGATTTCGAAGGTAAAATTCTGTTTTTCTGTTTGACTATTTTACATATTCATTCACTCGGTTTCATTACACAGATGGTGCTAATGTTGATGCAAATATGGGTATGTCATCTGATGATTTAGAATTGAAACTTGATACTTCTATAGTAGATACAAGAAATAAGGAGTAAGTTTAATGAACTGCATTTACATTTCATAGTTTTCACTGATACTTTTAGCGCAATATTAGTTTTGATTCAGATCAACCCTTAATACACCTTTTATTTTTGTACTTTTCTATGCTTTTATCCTATAGTTTGAAAACACGTGAAACAGCCTTACGAACATTACAAACATTATTTTCAAAAAAATATATGTACGACATGATTGTGAATCGGTATGGTGTCTTTTAGTGCATACATTTTTCATTAAAGTTTCGACTATTCTTTCATCGCTGTAGGAAAGAAACTATTACTGAACAGTTATTAGCTTGTCTGAAAAAAGCAGGTGACATCGAAGGAAGATTAACACTAAATGTTATTGCATTGTTTATGATACAGCTTGGTATTCAGGACGAAGATTTATATCAACAATTTCATGATACTCTGTTGACAATACTTCGAGATGATACAAAGCCAATTAGTATGCGAGCCAGTTGTGCTCATGCTATTGGTATTACAAATTACATTGCAGGCGATGATATTCTAGTAAGTTTATCGTCTCAAAATAACATTGTGCATTAAGCGATAAGGGTATTATTATTAATATATGATTTTTTTTTCTAGAATACCTATGAATTGATGAAGTCACTAGAAAATATATTCTCAAAATCCTATTTGACGGAAGATGGAACAACAGTAGTGGTTTCAAACGCATTACAACAACTTCATATAGCATGTTTATCATCATGGGGTTTATTAATGACAGCTATGACTGACAATCGAGCACACGATCTTCTTAAATTATATTTAATAAAAATACCTGATCTAATCGAAAGCAACGATCCTGAACTTCGAAATGTAGCTGGTGAGACAATTGCTGTTATGTATGAAATAGCACGAGATCTTAATAGTGTATGTTTTTCTTCAATTCTAACTGTTTTCGTCAAGTTATGTTCTCTTCTTTGGTCTGAAGCCCGCTTGATTTTGTGGCAAAATATGTCTCTCATCTAGATTGTGCATTAGCCGTTGTTTTATTATCTTTTCTAAAGTTTTTCCCAGGCATGAGAGTAAACTTATGGGTCTGTAGCTGGTTACCTCTTGTTTATTTTTCGATGGTTTAAGGAGAAGAATGACGTACGCGTTTTTCCAAGCCGATGGAACATAGCCGGTGTTGATGCTAGCATTGAAAAGACGAGTGATATGTTGAATGAGAGAAGGTGTGTGGTTCCGCAAACAACGATTGTGAATGTTGTCAGGGCCGGGTGAGGTGTTGCCGAGAGATTT